ACAAATATATGCTGAAATCAAGGTATGCTATATACATAGAAAATAATGATAACAATGGGCTATATAATAATTTTTTAATTAAAATCTCATCCCAACGTATAGGTAATATGCAAGTAATCTAAATACTACTACAAAACTAAAGTTAGTGCTGAGTTCATGCAGTAAAAACTGCAAAGCTTTACTCTGCTCATGCCTCATTGCCTGCTCAAGCTTTCTGTCGTTGTGACCTGTTCTCGCTTCAGCTTTTTTTTTTTTTTTTTGCAAACACATTAATTGATTTATAATTAAGAGTACTACAGACAGAGCTGAAGGGAAATATCATCCGCAGTACATTGCCAGAAAAGATAAAATATATACAACAAAACCATCCATTCAGACATAAAGCCAATTGAACTAAGAAAAACTTTCTCCAAGATAATCCAAACAACAGTAATGGACGAGATCGACAAGGGACTGTGGCATTGCCGCGACGACTACGTCCACGAGCCTCTACTAAAGACATGCACACCGCTCTTCGGCTGCCTCCACGGAAGTGACACTCTTCGAGATTTGTTGTTGAGTTGTAGATTTTGCTTAAACTTCACCAGACTCAACAAAGGATCGCCAAGGAGTTCTCCATCAAATCTGAGGAGCACTGACCGGTCTGTACTCAACCCGAATGGAATCCTCAACTTAATTGGATACTGCTGCAAGGAGAACCGGAAAAAGTCTTCACACCCCAGCTCGTCTGAGGACGCTGATTGTCAACATTTTGTCAAATGAAGAAGAAGAAGAAGAAGAAGAAGAAGAAGAAGAAGAAGAAGAAGAAGAGAAGATTGGAATGAGGGAGAAGAAAGGTGAAATAATAGGGGCAGCATCAACCATATGAACATATATATTACATTGGTTACTGCAAAACTAATTTGGTGATATTATCAAAGACAAAAAAACTTGGTGTCAAAAGAGCAAGTGCAGACAAATTCGGTCCTACATCATCAAAATTTCCTAGTTTATTAACCAGTGGGCCAATGCTGTCTTATCAATTATTGTCAGAACTAAAAAAAATAGATTTGGAAACAAGTTCCAGGATGATTTACTTTTAAAACATCAATAAGGCCAGCTAGTGCAGAAGGTTCTTTGGGGGAAGCGCTACACAAAACGACATCCATTCATATTATTTTTAATAATTGCATTAGATCCTAGCGTTTAGTTCGAGAGTTTCTAGCCAAAAAATATTAACTCCATATCTTTAACTACTTTGGGCACTCCAAAATTGATAGAAAGTTGGGAGAGTTCTTTTTCCTCAACGATAGAGGCTTGTTTTCATGCTAGCATCTTTTGAATATATAACAAAACAAGAGATCACTTGAAAGAACATTCCTATACCGTCTATTATATTTCATTTCTAACTCCCGCACTTCATATTGGGAAAAGTAAAGATGCAAACGCTGGTAGAAGCATCATATAAATGGATTACATAGACCCAAACAGAATGTAATCGTTTAAAACGATGTTTATTTAGAAAGTACTCCCTTGTTAACAACTAAATTTAGTAGCATCTGTGTCAGGAAAGAAGATTGGATCAAAGGAAAGTTGGAGGCGGAGATCGAGTTCGGAAACAGAGCAGGAATCGGCTGGAGTCTAGATCGGCTACGATTAGGATCGGTTGGGTCTGAGTCGGGCTAAGTAAGCTGATACGGCCGATTCCGACAATACGACTTGTATGCGACATCGGGTTCAAGTTAATGTACTTCAGGATGATTGCCACTCACGGATAGAGTCCTGGGAAGGCAATTGTATCTATTAATTAGGATATTTTATGTAAATTCCTTATAGATAATGTGGGCAAAAGTCTGCCGCAAAGACTTATGGTATCTTAGAGTTTGTTAGAGATAATAGTCATGTCCGGTATGGGCATATCTTGTAATTCTCGGGTATAAATAGACCCCGAGCCCTATGTAATTAAAAAACCCACGTTCAATATAATCTCAGCGCATCGCCACCCTTTTGCTTTAGTTTTGTTTCGACGGGTTCTTGCTTTCGGGTTGAGCTGCATCGGTTTCGATCTTCAACAAGAGGTAAAACTCGTTATGACGGATTGTGTTTTTAGGATTAGTGCTTCCATCTTTATGATACTCTAATCTTATTTATATAATTCGTCGAGTTATCATATATCTTATATAATCTTTAGCAATATCGCCACCTAATCTACTATCGGCTAACATCTGTACGCAGAGGGCAGCTGATTAGGTTAGATCTTGATGTTGATCTAGATTATATGAGTTATCTACCATTCTATGAAACTTCTAGCGGCTTGATTGTCTAGATATCGTTATTCTTTTCATATTTATTGCTGCATCAGTTAAGTTTGATCTATTAAGTCGTGCCTAGAATATCAATCTCTAGCCTGCCTTCTAGTTGCCGATTAGAATAGCATCGGAGTTGCAGCCGATCGTATCTGATTTAACTATATCTGTTCTATATGCTTCATTGACATGTTAAATCTGCCCTTTATATCAAGATATTGCTGTATCTGAGTATATTAGGCTCTTGTCCGATATATTATTCTTACTTTAATATCCTGATATAGAGTAGTATCGGAGTATTAGCTGATACATGCTAGATCTATCTGATCGGCTATACTATAAACATATATAGTCTTGTTATTGACATATATTTTAATTTAAGTGATTTATACTGTCTCGGCATGGTGACCGATCTATCCCAATCACTTGATTTAAGTATATATTGATATAAGAAGTATATATCATTAGTCGATCGAGTAGATTTAGTTCTTCTTTACTTGTTCATGACTGCTGATCGATGCACAGATGACATCGGCTTAAAGATAAATGATATGTCATCGGCATCTAGCCGATCGGCTATCATTTATAGATTTAACCACGGTTTCTTTGCTTCTAGTTCTTGATGATTACAGGATCAAATCAGCTAGCACGCTAACACATCTGAATGCGAGCTTTGGACCTGCACTAGAGTTAAGCAGATCTCTCAGACCACGTGTTTTCTGTCAACATCCCTCTGTTTCAGATTATAAGACGTTTTAATTTTGGTTAAAGTCAAACTACTCTAAGTTTGAATAACTCTATAGATAAAAAGTAGTAATATTTACAACACCAACATAGTTTCATTTGAGTAACTCCATAATTGATAATATTTCATAATTTATTAGTTTAGGGTTAAAAATATTACTATTTTTTTTTACAAAATTGGTCAAACTTAGAGTAGTTTGACTTTGATAAAATATCTTATAACCTAAAACGGAGGGAGTAGCTAATACGTGTATAATATTTTTTATACATGTATTAACTGCCAAAAAAAATATAGGGACGAATGAGGTTTTATGAAATATTTATCCTAAAACCTGTGATTCTTTGAAACAAGTTATAAACACATGCTACAAATTTAGCTGGACGGTTTCTAGCCAAAAATTATTAAGTCCATATCTTTTAACAAACCCGCTCCAAAATTGATAGAAACCTGGGAGAGTTCTTTTTCCTCATTGATAGAGGCTTGTTTCCATGACAGCGTCTTCTGAATATAGTATTAGCACTTGAAAGAAAATTCTACAGCAGAGAACAGCTCACCGATATACAAAACCAGAGATTATGCACTAAAATATGTAGTAACAAAATAGATTCGAGCGTCATGGGCGGCAGGCCTCTGCAAGGCTGCAATGAACCTGTAGCTGTCGGCGTTGCCTTTCTTTGGTTCTTCGCGAAACAGAAAACGGACATGTACTACATGCCTAGCACGTTGCATTAGTTCTTAGTCAAGTGGCAGTTCCATTCTCTTCTTTCGGCGTCATGACCTCTTTATAAGTGGACACATGTACAGTACTTATAAGTTCAAAGCATTCATTTAATCTTTTATTTTTTACTCCATCCATTTATTCTAAATAAGTTTATTTATAAGTAATCATCACATTAGAGTAAATAAAGGTACAAAATAAATGCATTGAAAGTAAATAAAAAATTTTTTATAGTGGGATTTGATAAAATAGATATATTCTAGTCAGTTTGGTTTTATATTGGTATGTGTAGGATGTGTGAAAAATAAACTTATTTTGGGACGGATGGAATTTTTTTAATAATATACCATCAATAACTATAAAATTAACGTCATATTTTCAAATTATCACGCTACAATAAACATAGATGTTACATTAAATACTCCCTCCAATTTTTTGAATCTACATTAAAAGATGATTGTAGTATTAGTTAAAAGTTACGGATATTTATTAAATGCCATGCACTTACTCCTAGATAAGTATTAAGGCATACTATTGTATGGGTTCTTTTTTTACATGAAATACTATTGTATGGGTTCTTTTTTTTACATGAAGTACATTTGATAACATGAAAGAGAGAAGAGAGGAAAGGGAAACCTCGTTACTATATTTGATATTAGCTTAGAATCGAGTCTTAGCATTTACTAATACTAAAAAGAATTTGGTTGCATGGAGTGAAAAAAAAAAAGATAATACCAAATATTTTGATACAATAATAGATAAGAAATTTTGTTGTCTCAACTATTAAAAAGATAGTTGTATTAACAAGAGCATATATTGGAATTTACCCATGTCCATGCCCTTATCTAGATAAATAAGCAGGAGTATTTTCATTTCCCAAATTTGTCTGACCCATTTGGCCAGTTCAATCCAAAAACCAAGTGTCCAAAATGGAATGGATCCGTGCCATTGTTGCCTTAATGCCGTCCTCAGGCGATTTTCTCCGTTGTACACGCCCTGATTACACGGGTGGCAAAAAATAGCCTGATTCTTCTCTTCTTCCTTTTCACTGTGCTCCATATGCCCTCAATATCCTATCAAATCCAATAAATACCCTTGACACACTAAGAATCGAATTATAATATTTACATTTCTGCCCCTCACAGGGCTCAACTGAAATTACAGAAAATTGTCGAAGGGATCAAGCGAAAGGCTTCTTTTATGTGGAAAATGGAATAAAAGTCTCGGATTAAAGAAGCAATTGCCGTTTCAGACGAGGGTGGCAGCCATATAATTTGCTTGCGCCAAAACCAAACATAGAGCAGCAATAGAGAGGAGGAGAGGGAGATGATGGCCCATCTCCTTCTCCTCCATCCACCTGCCAGCTCGAAGATTTCTGTCTGAATCGATCGGATCAAGATCAAATCAAGGAGGGAGGAGGTTGAGCAATTCCTGACAGGGACAGATCGGGAAAGCTCTCACAGCTTTTTCTTTGTTTTTGTTTGATTTGTTCCTGCTTTTCGATTGGAAAATTGGGAGGGGAGGAAGGTGATAGCCATTGAGGTGGTGGCATTTGCTGTCACCACCTTTAGCTATCGCCTTCCTCTTCCTCGTCTCGCTCGCCCCCCGGTCTAGCTTCTTTCTGCAGGTATTCAATCGATCGAGCAATCAGTTATTTTCGTTTTTGTTCTTGTTTTTTCTTTTTTATCATGGAAGCTCTCTGTTCATCTGATTTTGGTAGTGAATCTTTAATTTGTTTGTATGGCACGATTCACCCATAAATCAATCGATAATTTTGATACGATTCAGAGAGTGATTGATTTACTGCACTGGTTTCATCCAGGGAAGAGGGGAATAAAATTACTCTTTTTGCAAAAAAAAAATCTGAAAATAGGGAAAATAATCCAGCAAAATCGCATGTAATTTTGATGTTTGTTCATCGTTTCAAACTATACGTATTAGGAGAAACCAATCTCTACTGCTCCTGGCTGATTTTGTGATGAAAAATGGCCAGTTTCCTCTAAAACAATGACCAAATTTGACACCCTCTTGTTCTTGAAGGGCCGGACGGAAAAAACAAAACAAAAGAAGGCACCAGCCAGCCATGGCGATGGTGCTGGACTCCTTCGTCACCCGGTGCACGGCGTCGCTGGAGGACTTCGCCGGGCAGGAGGCGTGCGGCGCCCTCGGCATCGGGGACGACGTGCGGTGCCTCCTGGCCACGCTCCGGCGCGTCCAGGCCGTCGTCTCCCACGAGGAGCGCCGCGGCAGGGTGCTGAGCGCCAAGGTGGACGCCTGGGTGGCGCAGGTGAAGGACGCGATGTACGAGACCGACGACGTCCTCGACGTCTCCATGGTCGAGGGCGGCAAGATGCTCGCCGAGGGGGACAGCCCGCCGACGCCCAAGGCGCGCTGCTCCCTCATGTTCTCCTGCTTCAAGCCTGCATCCGCCCCCAAGTTCCACCACGAGATCGGCTTCACCTTCAGGGAGATCGACGCCAAGCTGAGGGAGATCGAGGAGGAAATGCCCAGGCTCCCCGCAGGATCTTTGCACTCTGAATCAAGAAGGGATTGGTTCAGTAGAGGCATCTGCAGTAACTTCTCTGACGCCATTAGGCCACTCGCGGTTGGGACACAGGTTCAGAAATCTCTGGATGGCCTTGTGCCTAGGATGATTAGAGAGGGCAAGAAGAAGGTGGATGTCTTGGCCATCGTCGGCGCAGTGGGGATCGGCAAGACAATGCTTGCTAGGGAGATTTACAACGACGAGAGGATGACCGAAACATTTCCAATTCGTGTGTGGGTGAAGATGACAAAGGATTTGACAGATGTGGATTTCTTGAAGAAGATCATCATCGGTGCCGGTGGTGGTGTCAATGTTGGTGAGATTGAGAGCAAGAAGGAGCTCCTTGGAATCGTCAGTTCTACTCTTTCGAAGAGGTTTCTCATTGTATTGGATGACTTGGACAACCCAGGTATATGGGATGATCTGCTCAAAGATCCACTGGGAGATGGTGTGGCCCGAGGCAGAATACTAATCACAACACGGAGCGAGGAAGTGGCAACAGGCATGAAGGCCATGGTCCACCGCGTCGACAAAATGGATGCAGAGAATGGCTGGGCATTGTTGTGCAGGCAGTCTCTCCCAGAGTGCAGTTCAGAAGAGCTCGCGTCACTGAAGGATGTTGGGATCAAGATTGTGGAGAGATGTGATGGCCATCCTCTAGCAATCAAGATGGTTGCTGGTGTCCTAAGGTCTAGAGGCAAGAGCAAGGCTGAGTGGGAGATGGTTATGAGAAGTGATGTTTGGTCCATGCGGCCAATCATTCCTGAGCTGCCTCAAGCTCTCTACTTGAGTTATGTTGATCTGCCTTCTGAATTAAAGGAGTGCTTCCTCCATTGCTCTTTGTATCCAGAAGAATTACCCATTCAGAGGTTTGGTCTTATCCGACGTTGGATAGCTGAAGGCCTTGTAAGTGACAAAGACAATAAGTTGCTAGAAGATTCTGCTGAAGAGTACTATGCAGAATTGGTAAGCAGAAACCTGTTACAGCTTTATGCTGGTAATCTTGATCAGTGCTGGATAACGCATGATCTTCTTCGCTCACTAGCACGCTTTCTGATAACAGATGAGAGTATCTTAATCAGCGGCCAACAGAGATTGAGCACAGACCCATTGTCATTGTCAAAGCCACGACACCTGACATTGTGCAACATGGAAAACAGATTTGATGATCCAATTTCAGTAAAGCAGCAGATGAGCCTAAGGTCATTGATGCTCTTCAATAGCCCAAATGTCAGATCAATAGATAATCTCGTCGAGTCAGCATCATGCTTGCGTGTCTTGGATCTGAGCAAGACAGCATTAGGTGCTCTCCCAAAATCCATTGGTAACCTGCTTCATTTGAGGTACCTCAATCTTGATGAAACTCAGGTCAGAGACATACCCTCTTCCATTGGCTTTCTTATAAACTTGGAGACTTTGAGCCTTCAGAATTGCCAGAGATTGCAGAGACTTCCTTGGACCGTCAGGGCATTGCTACAGCTTAGATGCCTTTCGCTCACAGGAACTTCTCTTAGTCATGTACCAAAGGGTGTTGGTGATTTGAAGAATCTGAACTATCTTGCTGGTTTAATCATTAGTCACGACAACGGTGGACCTGAGGGTTGTGATTTAAATGACCTACAGACTTTGTCAGAATTAAGGCACCTTCACATAGAGAACCTGGATAGAGCTACTTCAGGCGCTTCTGCACTTGCAAACAAGCCATTCCTCAAGGATCTACACCTCTGTGAACAGGCACCATTGATAGAGGAGCAGCAATCTGAACAAGAACAAGAGAATCAAGATGACCAAAAGGAAACAGAGGAAGAAGAGAAGGAAGTACTTGATGTAACCAATAGCCAATTTAGTAGAGAGGAATCAATCAAAGCGAGCGAAAAGATATGGAACGAACTCACCCCACCCCAGAACATTGAGAAACTAGTAATTAAGAACTACCGAGGTGGAAAGTTTCCAAACTGGTTGACAGGTCCAAAGCTGGGCATATCATTCCCTAGTCTTGTGTACTTGGATATCGACAACTGCATGTCATGCACGGCACTGCCTGCTCTTGGCCTCCTAAACCAACTCCAGTCCTTGCAAATCTCGAATGCAGACTCAGTCGTCACCATTGGTCCTGAATTCCTCGGTGCTGCTTCATCATCATCGGCCACTGCTTCCTTCCCCAAGCTTGAGATATTAAAGCTCAGAAACATGAAGAAATTGGAAGAGTGGTCATTAGCCGTGGAAGAGAATCAGATATTGTTACCATGTCTTAAATCACTGCACATACAGTTCTGCCCCAAACTTAAAGCTCTACCAGAAGGACTGAAGAATGTTTCGCTGCGTGAGCTTCATGTCGAGGGTGCATATAGCCTAACAGAAATAAAGGACCTGCCGAGAATATCTGATGATCTCCAACTCAAAGACAACAGAGCACTTCAGAGGATCTCTAGCTTGCCCGTATTGCAGTCTCTCACCATTGACAACTGCCCAAAGTTGAAGCATGTTTCAGGCCTTGACACACTGCAGCATCTCAGGCTGGCGTTCCCTCCATCCACAGAGACATTTTATTTTGATGAGCTGATCATCTTCTGGAGTATTGCATTCCCACGGTGGCTGGAGCTGTTGATCCGTAAGCGCGATGGGCTGTGCCATTTCGAGCTTCAGTGCAGCCTCTCATTGCTCAGGAGCTGCCTGGACGGTGGCAAGAACTGGAGCATCGTTCAGCAGATCCCCGAGGTGCGGATCACCAGCACCGATGGCAAGAGGTACATCCGGTACAACAAACGCCGGTGCATCTATGAGACGAATGCTCAATCTGAAGATTGAAGCCTTCGTGAAAGTCCCAGTGCAGTACGTTTTTTTTTTTCATCTTCATTGTGCAGTTCATCTTGTCAAGGTTCTCTTGTTCAGTTGTGTGGTGTCATTACTTACAGAAGTGTATATTTTCGTTGATTTATTGGCAGTGGTTTGGGTTGTTACAAGGACACATCTCAGTTTTCCTGGGTAGTCCTTCCATGAGTTTTGTTTGCAATATTTGCCAACACGTGCATTCACACAGGCTATTATGTAAGCCTTTGTTCTATCTTTTCTAATTACATTTGTTTTGCAAATCAAATATCCGATAAAATTTAGTTATCCCTTGGGATAAGGGACAGATTGAAAAACTGATATGCAGGTATATTTTTCTCACATAAGATTCCAACATTGATGGAAACTAGATACGATAATTTGTTCGGAGTTTCTAACAGGTCAATTCATATATCTGTATAAGCCGTAGGTATATTAAACATGTGCTGGTTTAAAAAGTTGATGATTACAAAACCTACTCTCTTCGTTCCAATAAAAACCAACCTAGGATTAGATTTGATATAATAATTGTGGAGGTTGGTCTTTTTTTTTTTTTTTTTTTTGGGATGGAGGGAGCATTTCACAGTAATCTCACTTGCACATGTTTTTTTCCAGGTTATAGTAAAATGAAAATTGTAGACAAGACAAAACAAGTCTAAAATGGGTAGGGATGAAAACGGTATGAAAACTTCCCAGATTCCGGACCTATTTTCGAAAACAAAAACTTTCAGTCGGATTTTTTCGGAAATGGATATGTTTGAAGTGGTTCCTACCTATGCGGAACGAATGAAAATGTAGAACCTTGTACAGTTGGAAACTCGGATAAAGCAGAGTTGGTAGAGGACGATTCAGGAGCTGAATTTGTATGGATTCAAGCCGCATTTTCCCGCTAATAAGTGAACAACCATGATGATTTCGCCATGACGTTCCTGCTATATGCGATGGGATAAATGTATTGATGATATTCATGAAGGGGCATCAGCAGTTTCCGGCTTTCCCGCGGAGTGGGGCGGGAGGGAAAGGAGAGGAAGTGGGATGGGGTAGCGGAGGCGCCACCATCCACCAGGCGTCGGCAAAGCGGATGTGCTCCCTGCCGGCTCCAACCAACAGAGAGAAACGCCGCGGGTGGTGGAGCTGGGGTGAGGAAGCTGCTGAGGGTGCTGATCGAGCTTCCCTAGTAGCAGGCTAGCAGCAAGCCAAGCCTCTCCATCATTGGGACTTGGGAGGAAGAGCTATCGGTGGAGACGTAGGGAGGAGAGGCAGGCGCCACGCTGTTATGTCATGGCCTCATGGGGAGGTTACGGGAGGAGGAGGAAGCATAGCTGCCTAGAATTGGGCTTTTTGATATTGGGCCTTCCGGTCTGCACATGTGCAACCAGTTGTGATTAGGGAATTTTTTTATTTTTAATTTTTTTAATTAAAAGTTTTACAAAAAAAATTTTATTTCAAAAAATGACAAAACTAATCTCCCCAGAGGGCGGGAAATGTGACGTGGCAGACGGCCGTTGGCTCTCGGACGATGGCCGTCAACCGAGGGCAGGACATTTTGCAGGCGGCCCCCTTGCCGCCCTCGGCAAGGGCGGTTTTAAACTGTGCAGGGGCCACCTACAAGAGGGCGGCGAGAGGGCGTGGATTTTTTTTGCAGGCGGCCCCCTTGCCGCCCTCTGGGAGGGCAATTTTGTACTGTTGAGGGACCAACAGCCAAAAAAATCATAGTTTTGTAATGGTTTTGATTTATTTTGTTATGTTTTTGTATTGAATCGTTTGTTATAAAAATTTGCTAAATAATCATATTGAAAACGAAGAAAACATGAGTAATGTTTGTAGATTTGTTTGATGTAAAATATCGTATTTGACCGAAGAAAATTAGGTAAATAATGAGTCTGAAAACAGGAAAATTAGGTAGTTTTTTTTAAAAATTTTAGATGAATACTTTGCAGTCAAATTGGAGGCCGAGGAGGTGGTGTGTGACTTTGAAGTGTTAGGTTAATGATCTTATAGAAACAAACATAGTATGTAAAATTTTGTAAGTATTGGATGGTATATTTTTCAGCCGGATTGGAGCTAGGGATGGTGTGCTCTAGATCAAACTAAACTACATTTTACAATTAACACTACGATCTAAGTCTCAATTCCTACTAATATCTTCTGTGCCCTAGATCTATACAAATGTGTTGTGTTCTACAGATGTACTAAAATATATGGAACTAAAACTAAAATGCAACATAAATTAAAAACACAATGTATTTACAGATGATGAAGTGAGCAAACCAGCAGGGGCTTCGCCGCTCCCCTTCTTCTACCCCACACCCCTCCCTTTTTCTTTTTTTTGGAATTTTGAGTGATTATAATGAAAATTCAGAGAGGGGGAAGGGGTTTTATTGTGTGTGTGTGGGGGGGGGGGGCTGCAAAATTCCAGGCCACTCGCTGCCCTTTTGCAGGCGGTCCCCTCAATTGTGTAAAATCGCTCTGTGTAAGGGCGGCAAGGGGGCCGCCTGCAAAATAGCCAAGCCCACGTCGCCGCCCTTTTTGCAGGCGGCCGCCCGCATAGTGTAAGATCGCCCTTAGAGAGGGCGGCAAGGGGGCCGCCTGCAAAACTGCACGCCCCCTGTTGACGACCATCGCCCGAGAGCCAACGGTCGTCTGCCACATCAGATTTCCCGCCCTCCGGGAGGGCGATTTTTAAAAATCGTCCCCCCCGAGGGCGGCGGGAGATTAGTTTTGTCAATTTTTGAAATAGAAAATTATTTTTGTAAACTTTTAATAAAAAATTTAAAATAAAAAAATTCTGCGATTAGGTCGGATGGCTATCATTTCATTGGTGACAATTAGATGGTTGTGGTTTTTGTTGGTGACAAGGCTTCACCACAACATAGAGAATTGCTATTAACTACACTAAGTGGGGATGCATTGTATAGGTTTATTATAGGATAACACAGGTAATCTTAAACGCTACAAGTAATAACACAGGTATACAGTAGTGTAGTACCTTGGAAAGATATAGCAAATCGTTAAATATCATATGAATACTTAATTTTTCTTCAAATTGAGGAAAAAATGGTGGCACATTATGATAAACAAAATTGTATTACATGCTCCTTCCGTTTCATATTATATGACTTTCTAGCATAACATATATATGAATGTTGGCAATGCTAGAAAGTCTTATAATATGAAAATGATGAAGTATACTTTTTTCTTCAAAAAAATAAAATAAAAATTCTAGATTATGTCGAGGTTCGTGGTAGAAGTTTACACGTAGGGATTGGTGACGATACATGTTGGTACCATAATAATACATCGATGATACTTAGAGGTATGCTTGTTAGATATGGGTGATGATACACATAGGTACCAGTGGTTTCGTTGGTACGTTTTAGCTGGTATCATATAGGTGTTGGCGATGATACAGCATAGGTATATATCAATGATGATACATTTAATATAAATACTAGAGACGGTGCAACATAAGTACATGATACATGTATGTACCAAGGATTATATAATAAGGTTGGTGATGATACATGTAAGTACCAGGGACGAAACATGTTGGTGAGATATACTTGTACTAGTGACGATATTTTGTCAGTTATGAACTTGTGATGCCTTAAGATATTATTACAGGTAAAGAACCCATCTTTACTTATGGTTCGCAACCCCTTTTAATCCCTGGTACACAACCAGGATAACCAATCCGGAACTAAAGATGCCCATCTTTAGTCTCGGTTGAAATAGCCGGGACTAAAGAGTTTTTTTCTTTTCTTTTTTCATTGTTTGCATATTGATTTCGTGCCAAACTCACGGATCAAATAAGAGTAAATTACACTAGCGGTCCTTAAACTTGTAACGAGGTTTCACTTAGGTCCACGAACTTGCAAGCAAAATGAGTATCGTGGAATTTTTTTATTTTTTCTCCCTTCTTCCTTCTTTTTTTTTTCTCCCTTCTGCCATTGGCCCACCTGTCAGTGGGCCTCTCTGACCTCACATTAGCCTCTTCTCTCTATCCTCTCTCTCTCCGGCCGGTTACGCAGGATGGGCGGCCGGCTACCGAAGCAGCGACGGGCGGAGCGGTCGGCGAGAAAGGAGCAGTGCGTAGGCACCGACCGGCGGGAGGAGAGGAGCGGTGCGCGTGCACGGGCGGCGGCTGGAGAGGAGAGGAGTAGCGGGCGTGCGTGGACGGCGGTTGGCGAGAAAGGAGCGGCGCGCGTGCACGGGTGGCGGCTGGAGAGGAGAGGAGTGGTGTGCTTGCACGAACTGCGGCCGACGAGAAAGGAGCGGCGCGCGGGCGCCAGCCGACGGGAGGATGCGCGTGCACGGGCAGCAATTGGAGATGAGAGGAGCGGTGCGCGTGTGGGGGAGGCGTCGCCGACCATGCCCGGGAGGAGAGGTTGCTGACTGTGGCCATGCGTGCGGGGGGAGGCGTCGGCCATAGAGCGCGCTAGCTTGGCGGTGGAGATGAATTCGTCGCCGACCACACGTGGTAGAAGTTTACATGTAGGGATTTGTGATGATACATGTTGGTACTGTAATAATAATTACATTAGCGGTCCTTAAACTTGTAACGATGTTTCACTTAGGTCCATGAACTTGCAAGCAAAATGAGTATTGAGATCCCTAAACTTGGTTTAATGTATCATCTCGGTCCAAAGCCTCGTTTGACCGTGATCTTGCCTACGTGGCGTGCCACGTGGACGATGACAAGGAATTTTTTTATTTTTTCTCCCTTCTCCTTTTTTTCTCCCTTCTGCCACAGGCCCACCTATCAGTGGGCCTCTCTGACCTCACTTTTCCCTCTTCTCTCTATCCTCTCTTTCTCCGACCGGTTGAGCGAGACGGGCGGCTGGCGATGGGCGGGGCGGCCGGCGAGAAAGGAGCGGCGCGTGGGTGCCGGCCGGCGGGAGGAGAGGAGCGGCGCGCGTACACGGGCGGCGGCTGGAGAGGAGAGGAGCGTCACGTGTGCGCGAACAACGGCCGGCAAGAAAGGAGCGGCGCGCGGGTGCCGGCTGACGGGAGGACGCGCGTGCACGGGTGGCAGCCGGAGTGGAGAGGAACGGTGCACGTGCGGGGGAGGCATCGCCGACCACGCTCGGGAGTAGAGGTTGCCGACCGTGGCCACGCGTGCGGGGGAGGCGTCGGCCATAGAGCGCGCGAGCTTGGCGGCGGAGATGAAGTCGTCGCCGACCACACGTGGTAGAAGTTTACACGTAGGGATTCGTGACGATACATGTTGGTACCGTAATAATACATTGATGATACTTAGAGGTATGCTTGTTAGATACGGGTGATGATATACATAGGTACCAGTGGTTTCTTTGGTACGTTTTAGCTGGTATCATATAGGTGTTGGCGATGATACAACGTAGGTATATATCAATGATGATACATTTAATATAAATACTAGAGACGATGCGACATAAGTACATGATACATGTATGTACCAAGGATTATATAATGATGTTGGTGATGATACACGTAATTACCAGGGACGAAACCTGTTGGTGAGATATACTTGTACTAGTGACGATATTTTGTCAGTTATAAACTTGTGATGCCTTAAGATATTATTACCGGTAGAGAACCCATCTTTACTCACGGTTCGCAACCCCTTTTAATCCCGGGTACATAAACGGGACAACCAATCCAGGACTAAAGATGCCTATCTTTTTTGTCCCGATTGAGCGGGATGGGCGGCCGTCGACCGAAGCGGCGAAGGACGGGGCAGCCAGTGAGAAAGGAGCAGCGCGCGGGCGGTGGTTGGAGAGGAGAGGAGCAGCGCGCATGCGCGGATGGCGGCCGGCGAGAAAGGAGCGGCGCACGTGCATGGGCGGCGGCTGAAAATACTCCACATATATAATACCTTATTCATATTACCTTGCTATTTTTAACGTAGAGAAAAGTTTCAGTAACTGAATTTAGGTGATGGCATTAAAAGGTGGTCTTTTCTCCTGAAGATGAAGACGAAGATGAAGATGAATATTAGGTTTTTTTACGCAAAACGAGGTGGTATTAATGTACGATTGATTGAGTTTTAATTATTACAAACTTGAAAAATAGATTAATATTATATTTTAGAGCAACTTTCGTGTAGAAATTTTTCGCACGAAACGCACCGTTTAGCAGTTTGAAAAGCGTGCCACGAAAATCCTAATCTTTATCCAACTCATGTTGGAGAAAAGAACAGGACCAAAATGTGTTGCACAATTCAGGGTGATGAGACAATACACTTCTTTTTTGTGTTGTTCCTGTACTGTATTTATGCTCCCTTCACTAAGAAATGTAAGACATGGTTTGTCATGGCATTCTCCATAATTGAACTTGTCCAGATATAGTGTAGTTCTTTATGCATCAGGTGGTATTGCAAAAGGAGAAAAACATAATTAATTCTTCAGGATCTATGATGCTAAATTGGTTAGTCCATGTTTTGCACTGTTATTATCACTGATCTGGAATTATTCTCGCAGAACTCTTAAGGGTCATCCGAAGATTGAATTTGAAAGAGCAGTGGACTGATGTGCTACTTCACTTTATTACTTTGTATGCTCTGAGATCAACAATCTCTCATGATAGATAGCATATTGTGTAATGCTGGAGACGTGGATAGAGATTAGTACGTTCATTACAAGTGAACTCGTGGCATAATTCTCTTGATTTTTGTGGTGTTTGATACATGTCTTTAATGGACTGTATTTGATTATTTCAATTCAGTCCCTATCATTTGATTTAAAAATATAGCATTCATCTGTAATCTCTGGAGATAATTTTCATTTTGTAATATATATAATAGTTTGTTATATGCACATAGATCATGATTTTTTATGATGTTCAGAAGACTGGTACATGTGAATAGAAAAAAAGGGAAATGTCATGTTGTTTGGGGTGAATTGGTGATAGTTTATGGCAATGCCAATGTATTTGTACGGGAGGTATGTTATAGGGAGATCTGCAGCTCATCCATGACAAATACTATATCTAGGTATGCTTGATGTTCTAGATATTAAATTTCCATAGCATTCTTCTATCTACTACTATGTTCTAAATATTAAACACCATGAGATTGTTTTATATGCCAGAAAGCTTACACTCGGATTGTGTAGTGGTAATAGATTTTTTGTATTGAAATTAATTTGAATTAAACTACAGAACAATTTTGATTTGTAGTCTCTTCGATTTGCCAGATTTTTAACCGTGTTCAACAAATTTTCACTCAATGATTATTTAACATCTTTTCACCTCATATAATTTGAAATTGATATATATTATTTCACGTTGCAACGCACGGACACCCAGCTAGTATATATGTAATTTGTAAATATCATTTACATGTTTTAGCAATGTAATAATCATGTTGTTTACTTGAATTTATTGGAGCATTCAGTTTTGTTTGCAACCATAAATTTATTTCCTTAGCAACGCACATGCACTTAATTTGCTAGCATAATAAATTCAAAATTGCTAGACGAGCGAAAAAGTTAGTGACACACAAGAGATTCTCTTGTGTATTCGTAGGAGAGATTATATTCGTAAGAGTAACAGGAAAACTCAAACGAAATTGGCTGCAAATGAAATTTTGAGGCTTAACTTGTCATAAGTCACGGCTATTTGCTAGCTGACGAGTACTCATAATGTTGAACAGAAACTAAACAAACAAACATCAATTAAGTTCGCCCGCCCTATATATCTGTAGAACAGTAGAAGTAGCAGATATGAATCAGGCCATTGTAAAGCGGGGTTCAGAGCCTCTCGCCACGGATCCTCCTGGCGAGCTGAACGTCTTTGGACATGATGGTGACGCGCTTGGAGTGGATGGCGCAGAGGTTGGTGTCCTCGAACAGACCCACCAGGTACGCCTCCGCCGCCTCCTGCAGCGCCAGCACCGCGTGGCTCTGGAACCTCATGTCGTGCTGCACCGCACCAAAACATCGCAAAAATCAATTAACGTACGTACAAGCATCCTTAGAATAGAATGAATCGATCGGCATAATTTAAACGTTTGGTTACCTTGAAGTGCTGTGCGATCTCCCTGACGAGCCTCTGGAACGGCAGCTTCCTTATCAGCAGCTCCGTGTTTTTCTGATACTTTCGGATCTCCCTGCAATCGTATATATATGATATAATTCAAATAAATATAATATAATATAACTGCAGCAGAATTACTTATGGAGAGAGTTAAGCATGCATGCATATATGCTATGGAAAGATCGCTCAAACAATTAATTAATTTGCTTCATCGTTCAGTTCTTTAGAAGATAAAAAACAGCTATAGCGTGGCGCTGGGACATGTACATCTTTGACATAGATGCTGGATTGAATTCTGTCATCATTGAAGAAAAGAATCATGTATCTACCTAAGGGCTACGGTTCCAGGACGGTGTCGACGAGGCTTCTTAACTCCGATGAACGGAACGGACTTTCGAGCGACTCCTCTGCTGGACGGAGCAGGCATAACAGCGGCTATCTGCATGTCGATCGATTAATTGTAAAGATGCATCGTTCACAAGTGAAACAAAATTAATTAGTATTGTAGTAATCATTTTTGGCAAAGCATTTGTACATACAGCACGGAGTGGCTTTCTAGGGGCCTTTCCTCCCGTGGATTTCCGAGCTGTCTGCTTAGTACGAGCCATCCTGCAATCCATATAGACAAGAATATGCACATTATCCACATTGGCTATAACGCTAAGACAACAATTTTGAAGACCCTATAATATGAACAAGAACGGCGGGAGCTCTGCGGTTTACAAACCTCACGCAGATCCAAAAACTTAATTACAACGTTCACGAAATAATAATAATGTTAATTAAGATTAGACTTAAGACCTTAATTAGCGCCAAGAACAAAAAAAAAATTCTAATCCAGAAAAAAAAAAGAACACCTTAATTAGCGTCGTAGATGAATAATGGTGGCGCTTGATTGGCCCAACAGATTTGAAGAGGGTAGAAGAGGTGGAGGGGCGATGATTCAACGGCTAACAATTCTGGAAACAAACCGGTGACAACAGTGTTTCGGGTCTTTGGAGTAGAGGAGAAGAGTCCGGATCAGGAAGGGAGGTTACAAGTTGCGAAGAATTGGGAAGAAAATAGAAAAGGAGAAGGGGAAGAAGAAGGGTCAAAAAGGACAATGCGGATATTTGCCAATAAATTCTTGGAATAAATTTGGAACTCTGAAACATGGTTCGAAAAGTGTAGAGAGCAAGCCTAAAAAGTCTTTAGATATGCATGAAAGTAAGACATTTTTCGTCAAAATTGAGAAAAAAAAAACAAATGGCCGAGCAATTATGGCTTTATAATTAATTAGTCGCAATAAATCTAATCTTGTTTAAATATCTCGATTAAGTTAAACTAAGAAAATAAACACCAATTCAAATTTTAAAAGACCCGTACAAACTAAAAAAAAAGAGGAAAACCGGGATGTTACAGACAGAGAGATGCTTATTATTAGTACAATTTACAGGAAACTAACTAGTGTGGAGATCGATTGAAGAACACGTTAATTAGTAGGACAAGGAATTTCATTAGATTAAAAAAATGATAACTTATTTTATACCTCTCACAGTTCGACGAGTGCAGCAACTGCTATTGCTGTGTGTGCCTCCGAAAATCCCCCTCAGGTATGTTTTGGTGTGCAGATCTGACCGGAGAAGAGGGCTAATTTATAGGCGATCGGGCGGGCTAATTTACCGTTCCATAAACCGACTTATTAATTAGTTTTTATTTAACCAGAGCTCGATTGATTACCGTTGCATTTAATTAATCGACGGCTGATATGGTTTGTTTACGTGGTGGCACGGATCGGTGTCGATGCACGCCGCACTGCTATTGGCTGGCGCTACTAACACAAGGATTTCCTGGTTCCTGCGAATTTATGATGGTAATCCTCCTTTGGATAAAAATTGTTTCCTTTCACTGTAGATCATCAAGACAAATCATGCCATATATATCTATATCTATATCTATATCTATATCTATAATATAAAAAGGAGGAGTTGTCCACCTCCAATCCTACATACAAAATCATTCGGATTGATCCCTACCGTCCATCTGCGCGAGTGATTTCACCACCACACGATCCATCCATCCACGCCGAATACGCCGAATACTTCGCTCCTCCTCCTCCACCCGCGAAGACATCACCCCACGCGCGAATACTTCGCTTCTCCAGTTCTCCTCCTCCTCGCTCGCTTGCTCCTCCTCCCCGCATGTTCTACCGCCGCGCCGCTGCATCCTCTCTGGAGATCTTCCCCGCGTGGACTGCCGCCGCCAGAGCCTCTGATTCTTCCCCGTCGCCGGAGCCAGTGCTTCTTCCCCGCGTGGATTGTCGCCGCATCCCCGCCGCCGGCGCCGCTGATTCTTCCCCATCGCCGGAGCCGGTGTTTCTTCCCCGCGTAGACTGTCGCCGCATCCCCGCTGCCGGAGCCGCTGCTTCTTCCCTGCCGCCGGAGCCGCCGTGGCCGGTTCCGACCTCAACTCCATCCGCCGGCGCCGGCGCCTAGATCCACTGCCGCGGCCGAAGCCGACTTTCCACCGCTTCCTTGAGACGTTCAACGAGAGAGACGACTGCCGGTGCGACACTTCAACATTATGCTCTACCACAACGCTACAGAGTACAGACCAGGTTCGGCACAATACTAGGTTTCCTCGCTTTTAACTTCACAATTGCTTCTGTTCCTTCTGGTGTTTGTTCCCACAAAATGCATGTGGCATGGAAGATGCTTGATGGAATACTCAATTGATTATTCGATACAGTATCATTTGTTGCAGTTTTTAGATCTTCCAATTAACTAGCGCAACAACAACAGATTCTGGTTCCTCTTTCTTTATTTTCTGCTTGCCATTTATATTTATATTTATGTTCGTTAAAAGAAATTCAGCACTGAAGTATAAATGTTCACCCATTTCTCTGTGATATCAGGCTTGTTAACAACAATGTTTTTGTGCAGGAATTCCTATTTATTAAAAAGCTATGGTATGTTAGCTACATTTTAAACGAACAGGATATGATTATCTGAGCTTTGTCCAGCTCCAGTCTCTAAAGATGGGATGTTCAGTTTGTAATCATAGAACACACGCGCAACAATCTTGCAGTGGGGAATACCATGATGCACAGGTTAGAATGAGAGAGGGATGGCATTGGAATTGTCAAAGATTTCTCATACACCTAAGCCAAAGCCCTTTCCTCTTTTGGTCTTTCCTTCTTTCTATGTAACAAGGGAATGATCTGGTCACAGAATACTGCAGCGGTTTGATCAACGAAAAGCAGGTGATAAATGTTGGTGTTTGACTTATGCCCAGGTTACTGTCACGCCCATAAATTCACGAACCAGAATTTTTAAGCTGAATGTGCATTAAATCCCTGTCTAGGACCAGCCAGGATATACAAATGACAATTGTTGACATATAGATCCACGTCTTACAAAAATAGAAAAGATTACAAATGCAGCCGAAAAGATAAAAGCGAGCTAAACCGGGAAGCTTGACTTCAGCAGCGGGGCGACTCCACTCCACACAGGCAATCCTTGACGGCGGCGATGAAACCAACTTTGACAAGACAGCTCCCACTAGGAAGATTTTCAGTTCTGGTGTGGGGAAAAAGAGAGCAAGACTGAGTACTACCCACTGTACTCAGCAAGTCATACCGGAAGAGGAGGTATGATGCAGGATATAACCAAAGGAGGCTAGGGGTTCATTTGCATAAAGCAGGCATTTAAAAGCAGAAGTTGAAAACAGTAAAACAATTGTAGTAATTAATCAACATTAACCAATCACTGTCCAATGCTACACCACGTTGCAACAAGCCCAACCAACCACCTGAACTACACCAGTTCATTAAGCTAAACTAGGGGTGAGACTAATCACGGTGAATCTGGTTGATCGCCCATAACCACGGGCACGACTATTCGAATAGTTTTACTCTGGCCAGAGGTGTACAACTGTACTCACAAGACACAATTCCACACATGTTGCCATGCCCCGAAGTATCACCATGATACTGCAAAGGGGGAAATCGTGACAAGACCCTCCGCATAACCCTCCCCTAACCATCCACACCACGCTAAGGTTTCACCCGCACCCCCAACGGGCAGTGGGCGGTCCCCTCTTGCGCCGCGGTGAATCCGGCAGCTGGACAACTGGACACCCCGGCTGACCCAACTCCATCATGCCCACCCTCACCACCGGTGCCTAGGAAAGGGTCGAGCTATACTTCAGATCAAGCAGTTACCCACTCCCGCTTGTGGTAAGCACGATAAGTCTTCTAGGGTTTCCCGTGAACCGGTCCTTAATTGCCATGGGTGCGACCAGAAAAACCATGCACCCACAGCCCACCCTTCAGTGTATTTTAATTAACTAACACCAATGCGGTGGCACCAATCCAAAGCTATGCTCATAGTCAAAGTCTATGTAATAATGTGATCCCCATTTGTGTACTAGTTGAACTACACATAGCTAAGCATTTCCTAAACCAACATCTAGTCATTTGGACACTCAAGTTATCAATGGCATAAGGTAAACAATATATGGCTGAGTAATGGGACCCATCCCACATGACATTGTAAAAGAATGCAACATTTAATAGAAATGCGGGATATTTGTAAATTGGGTACAATATGATGAATTGTAACGCATGACTTGCCTTCCTTTCGCACTGATGAGCCCACATCAACGTCTTCGTGGAACCGCGGATCGACAAAACGGCCGAAATCTACGCGACAAACAAAACACACAAGCAAAACACACTATAAGACTACTGAAAAAGGAAACAAAACCATTTTTAATGGATTCTAGGGATTTTTATGAATTTACTGAGACTTGAATGGACTTAAACGGAGCTCGGATGAATTAGGTATGAATTTTAGAAGATAAACTGTGTTTTTACTACTAAAGAAAAGCCCTTAATTAATTATTGCGCAATAAATCCCCAGGGCTGACGTCATCAAGGGAGGGGGCGGCGCCGGTAAGCGGGCCCCACATCTCAGCGGCTCGAGGTGGCCGGTCCACCGTGGACCGGGACCACATGAGTGGTCCACCGCCGGTCCACGGGACCGACGGTACAGATCGGCCTGAGGCCAATCGGACGGCGTAGGTGAGGCTAGGCATGGCTCGGCTCGGCACAAAGACGGCCGGCCAGCCATGGGGAGCGGCGGCGGCGAGCGCGCGCCGGCAACGGAAAGCGGCAGTGCGGGAGGCAGCGGCGGACGTCTCACTGGCCGGCGGCAGCGGCCGAAGGCGATGGCGAGCGCAGAGAGTGGCGGCGCGTGCGGGACAGAGGGAAGGAGGGAGGAGAGGAGCTCCTCACCGATGAGCACGGTGGCCGGCGCGAAGGATGGAGGTGGCGGCGATGACCGCGATGCGGAGGGACGGACGGGCGGCGGCGACACCCTAGGAGAAGATGGAGAGGCGTCAGGAGAGGAGATAACGACCACGGCGGCTTTAAACACCGGCCGAAGATGGGGTGGACGGCGTGACTCACCGGCGTGCGAGGAGAGAGGCGCTCCAGTGGGATTCCGGCAACGTGAGGCGGCGGCCGGGAAAGCTCTTGCGGCGGCGGCTTGGCACGGCGGCGGCCCTAGAAGCGACAGCACGCGGCCGGAGATGGGCGGCGGCGACGGAGCTCGGCGAGCGCGGCGCGACGGCGGTAGAGGGCGTGGGAGTGGACGGTTAATGGGGGAAATGAGAGAGAGAGCTCGAGGGAGGATTTTTATGGGCGCTTTGGGGGCAGAAACGGCCGAGGATGGCCCCTATTTGGCCGGCGACGTGGGGAGTGGAGAGAGAGAGAGAGGTGGATTCGAATGCGAATCCCGCCCATTTTTGGGCGTGCGCGAGAGCGGGAAGAGGTGGAGGAGGTGGGCGGCGATGTGGGCGCGAGCGCGGGGCGCGGAGTGGGGGCGGGGAGGCGGAAAACACGGCGGCGCGGGCGGTTACTGCCGGGGCACGGTCGGCTGGAGGAAGGGGACGACCCCGACAGGTGGGGCCCACCTGTCGGCGTTCCGGAGGGAAGGGGAAGGGGAAACAGGCCGGCCCAACAAGGGGAGGTGGCGCGGGAGAGAGATGGGCCGACGGCCCATCAAGAGAAAAAGGAAGGAAAAGAAAAGATAAAGAGGAAAATGATTTTCCTGGGATTAAAAATATTGCACTTGCTCATTTTTAATTGGTTAAAATTATTTATAGGGCTCTGAAAATTCCACTAAAAATCTTGTTAATGCATTAGGGCATGGGGAACTCAAGAAAAATTCCACCACGCTATTTCCAATTATTAGTTGCATTTATTAATTAGGGATTCAACTCTAGGTTAATTAGAACAATTTCTCCAGACGATTTATTTAACAAATTTTTAAAACAAGAAAAAGGGGAAACTTCAAGGCGTGACAAAGATTACCCACCTTGATTTTGTGCCTACCTTGAAACATGAAGCCTCAATATGATTGTTCACCATTCCAGCTTACCAACTATATTGAAATATCAATCTATTATGTAAGCTGCCTTTACAAATTAATTATTACTCTTTGTTGATAATGTTCAGAGCCACTGAGCTTGTTCTTGCTTTCAAATATGGTGCTGCTCTCATGAATATTGATAAAGTTTGCCATCTCTTCATGGTAGTTTTGTATGTTTGTGCAGGTCTTCCAAATTACACATAGTTCATTATGCTTGGGACAGAATAATACAATAGTTGATATAAATGTGCAGAAAAAACTGAAAGAAATTTCAGATTGCTTAATATTTTGATGTGAGTTTATCACGGGTGCATATTGGAGTGACTGAACAATGATTCTCATTGGTAATCATTTTCTCCTACCTTCTACTTCCTTCAGTTTCTCATATTCCTTTTTTACGAATTATATACCTCCGTATTTAAACAGCTTTTTATATATTTGTTTTCTATAAATATTAAATGATAATTACTCATTTTTCATTTTTTTTCGTGGTGGTACACTATGAGAATTTTCCGAAATACTATGTCCTGCCACATGGTTGCTGAATACATTCAAGGGCATTGCACTGTCCATTCCATTCAGTACTGGGCATATGCATTACATTAGGCACACACAGGAGAAACATGCCATAGATTAAGTCATAGAGTTCTGCCTTCAAATTTGGAAAGAAAAAGATATTCAGAGTGGCTTCAGCCTTCAGGTAATGTTACGCAAGCGGACAATAATGTTGTTATTAATTTGATATATTTTTAAGTGCTATAGAAATCGATGAAACTAATTCAGGTTTTGTAGACAGCTTGGTGATCAAGGCCTACCAATATTTAATGAGTTATGTCCCTTGATTGATACACTAAAGCTTATTCTCATAGGCAATTTTGATCTAGCAAAATATGTGTGCAATGGGTGCAAGTAATAGAAGCTGCAAGGCATATTATGAACAATCAAATTGTTTCTGAACTGAAGTAGCAGGTTTAATTTTGGTCAGGTATTTAATACAGACCAAATTTATAGTGGTAAGAAGTAACGAGAAATGCCCGTGCGTTGCACCGGGTATTGGTGGGGTGGCTGAAGTTTGATATTAACGACTTATCAAAAGCACACGAGATGATTATAAGTACAATGATAAAAAGGTCATGTTTGTTTTTGATAATTAATTTACTCTATATTTGGACGACTTAGATGACGCTTCTGACGTGTGTGGGCTTGATGGTCATGGCAAGGGAGGAATGAGTGGCGAACAATTAATGTGTCTCCTTTTGCATATAGGGCGACATATGGAAATTTATGTGATGAAAAATGAATGGAATTGACCTAAAGGCACCTCCCCAGATTTATATTTCCCCATATTTATATTTGTAGTTTAATTAAACTTTCTTCAGCATTTATTTAATAGAGTTGTAACCGAACCAAGGGATTTCTTGAGATTCTTAAGTTATCAATGGTGAGATTCTGTCAGGTGACTTCTAACCTTGAATTTGTTTCAGAAGTCACCAGATTGTTTAACACGCTAGATGCTATCTCACTGCAAGATCCTGCCTTTTTTTTTATCTGAAGTTATACTGAGCTGCTACCTCCTCAGGCTTCATTCTGTCCCCGTCCGCACCTTCCTCGATGATGATAACCCTACCGCAAGGTAACTATTCATGTCATCTTCTTTGGGTATTCACGCACATGTGGCAACACAACAGATTGGTACATGTGCTTTTCTACAGCCAGATCATTGCACAATGTCTAGAATTTTCTACTTATTTGCAGGGTGACATGAGAATTAGTTTATCACCCCGGTCGAAGGTATGCCCCAAAAACTAGATTGAATATACTTATGTCTCTATAAAGGGATATTGTGTGGATTCTATGCAGCTTTCAGATTCGTATGCTAAATTCTATATAGATGTATATGCTGAATTTTATGCCCCAAAAACTAGATTGAATATACAGAACTATATGCAGCTTTTACTCTTTGAAGGTGTATATGCATGCTACCATGTTTCCTGCTAAGCTGTATATAGTGCAATTTACTACGTCCTCTCTTTTTTTTATATATATACCTTCACAGAAGACAGTAATGGATGCAGGTAGCTAACTGCGTGGAAATTGGTCTTCCGTCACTCATTCGCAAAAATAAAAGAGAAGCGTCTCCATTGCTTCTGAATTCTGGTGCCTTGCATTTGATTTAACCTCAGGATAAAAAGAGTCTTGGGATATATGGCTTCTTTACTTTACGGATTGCTCTTCCTGCCCAATAAATGTATTTTGCAGCCTTCAAGCAGATAAGGATCATGGAGGCTCTCCAAATGATATATGCTTCTGTTCATAATCTGCTTGTGGGTTACTGTTTCTGTTGACACGGATAATTAGTCCATCTCTGTAGTCACAGATGACAACTTTTTTCCCTTCAATGCAGCCACATTTTTGTGATGCTTTACAATCTTGACAGTCAGTGCAAAAGGACCAATGCAGAAATCCATAAAACTGAACAAACAAATGGTCTATGTTAACTGAGATTATAAGCAAGTTATTTTTATACTGAAATATATTTGTCGCCCTAGGAATATTTGAGGGCTAATATATTTGTCAAGCTTAAATATTGAATTCCAATCCATGTGCACTTGGCTTCAAGGTAAACATAATTTTATTTCTAAGATGTCATTTTAGTTTACAGTAGATGTACACACTTTAACTAGGTATGCTGTTTTTAACTGTGAACTCAATAGGTGTAACTCCTACTATTTAAATGCAGATTTCAAAACCAAGTATACCAAAATTGGCGTTGTTAAGTAGTTGTACAGCAATACTGACTATTATTTGGTTTTTATACAATACAACTCTGCTAATAAGTATAGAATCACATCAGACATGTAGGCATATATGTGCACATGCATAACCAGGTGACCAAGGAAGCTATACTATAGAATAATGTGAACTCCTTCCTTTTCTTTTTCTAATTAGACACTTTATTGCATAGTGTTGTGGTTTGAATGTAAAATAGACAGATCTGTTGCTCGAGGTTTCCAAACATTTATCAAGCTATGAAAAAAATTACATATTTGGTATCATTAGATGGAGTTGTTTGAATGTAAAATAGATAGATCTGTTGCTCGAGGTTTCCAAACATTTATCAAGCTATGAAAAAAATTGTATATTTGGTATCATTAGATGTCCTTCATTTTTATAGTTAGTGTAAAGGGAGAGTTATGTGGCATATTAATATTAAATTTTGTATTTATATGTCCTGTGTGTTACACGTCGTCGGAAAACCATATAAATTTGATTGTGTTTATATGTTTACTATGATATATAGTGCGGGAACGTGCCTTGCACGTGCACTCTTACTAGTATGGAATTAAATTAAGAGATATTACTTATACTCAAATTAAATATTATATCTCTATCTATACTATTCTAAAAATTAAAGATTCCGCTAAAATTTTGGTACTCCCTCCATTTCATATTACTCCCTCCATTTCTAAATATTTGACGCCGTTGACTTTTTTTAAATATGTTTGACCATTCGTCTTATTAAAAAAATTAAGTAATTATTAATTCTTTTCCTACCATTTGATTCATTGTTAAATATACTTATATGTATACATATAGTTTTACATATTTCACAAAAGTTTTTGAATAAGATGAACGGTCAAACATGTGCTAAAAAGTCAAAGGTGTCAAATATTTAGAAACGGAGGGAGTATAAAACTTTATAGCATACATTCATTAACATCTATATGAATATGAACAATGCTAGAAAGTCTTATAATATGAAACGGAGGGAGTATGTCATAAGTGTTTGAGTTAGTTCTATGTCACCGTATCCAATTCGAAGTGACTCCACCCAGCTTAATCCAACCGGCTCACACCACCTTGATGCTCCATCCCGCACTGCGCGCCTCTCCCCGATCGACGTCTTCTCTCTCTCTCTCTCCTTTTTTTTTTTTGCTATTTCTCCTTTTCTTTTCTCCCAATCATCATGTCCTCTTCCTCCCCTTTCAATCTCCTCTATTTTCTCCTCCTTTTCTCTTTTTCCCTCATTTTTCTTCCAAATTTCTCTCCTCATAAATATTTTTTTAAAAATTATCATTAAGGTGTGTATGGGGCAAGAGTGTTACTTTGCAAATGTTTTCCATCTACAGTTAAATTCTTTTACTAATTGAATAGTCAAAATTTCAATCTTTGATCGATGACATATAGCAGAAAACATAAACGTCAACTTATGGAATAGCCACCCGATCGATTTCTGAGACTATGGAAAGGTGTACATAAAAGATTCTTCATGTGATGATGCATGAAGCGAGTGCAACCGGGTTTAATACTATATATGATTTATGACTTTGTTTTGTCATTGTTTTGTTTTTTTGTTTGTCATTTAAATTGGTAAAGTTTTTATCAATCGTGGAAATTGTCTTCACCCGTTGCAACGTACAAACATCTTTGGTAGTATGCATGGCCCCTAGTCCAATTTGCATCTTTGCTACCGAATATGTTTGGTTTCTGCTTCCAACGTTCCCCCTTCCCCTTCTATTAGGTCTAGGTCGGAAGTCCCTTAAAAAATGTGATGGCCTTTTCCACGTCCAGGTTGAATTACAATTTACACCAGATCGAGCAATCTTTTGTACCCTCCTAACTCCATCTCCCTCTTCCTTCTTGCTTCATCCTCCCGCCATCGCCGCGAGACATACGATCCCATGAAGCTTGCTCACTCACTGAAAGGAGAATTAATCGTCCTAGCTAAGTGTAATATCCCACATCGTACGAGATTGAGTCGCTAACGACGAAGAAGAAAGCAAATACTTGAAGAATGGGAAAGGGATTCTGATGTGACCATCAAATATATGAATACAACCAAGTATGAATGGACTTGTTCTGGTTGGTAGCCACGTCGCAAACGTCGCACTCGATCAAAGCGAGAGTTATCCCCTTATTAGAAGATCGGGCCACGAGAGAGAGCGTCATCAAATTCAGAGAAAAGAGGGAGGAGGTTGTCAACTTACTTCATTTTTTCTCGCCAAATCCTATAAATCTATAAGTGATCCTCACTTAATGTAGTTATTACCCAATTTCCTATCCTGTAGTTCATCCACGTCATAAAAAAAACGTCAATCATTGTATGAAATCTCAAAGGTTTGGATGCACCCAAATCCCAATGGTATGGATCAGAACAGTCCAAACGAGAGAGCCCATGAGCCCATTTGTACGTAGCCTCCCGCCCCGCGACTATTACCAAAAACGATTTTCTTGTACAAGGAGCTCTTTAGATTGCAGATAGACAGCACAAAATCGATTTTCCTATACAAGGAGCTCTTTAGAAAATTGATTTTCGCAGGCAGGCCTCTTAATGGTCCGCACGTAAAAATAAGCCTATTTTTGCAGGTGGACCTCTTAAGGGGCCGCATACGAAAATCAATCTTCGCGTGCAGACCTCTTAAAGGCCCGCCTACAAGTCTATTCCCCCTCCTATCTTCCCTCTCATCAATTTCAAAATTTTTAAGTCCCATTCTTTATCTCCTCACCTCTCATTCCACAGCCTTATCTCCTCTCCCTTGTCAAGTGCGTTGTGTGATAGGGTAGCTGGCCCTCGGCTACGGAGCTCGTAGCCGCGCGCCGTGATGTTGGGCGAGGTTTTCCCCCTCAGCACCGATAGACAGAGGCAAAGAGGAAGAATAGAAAGTTTGTGATCAACTCCTTTTCTTCCAAATTCTGAATACAAACTTAAGTAGGCTCTCGGGCCTTAATTCATGGCGCTAATCAAATCATTGTAACTAATTATTCCTATTACTAAGGATCTGATTGATCCTTCTGTTTTCAAATCCACGCGCTAATCCTGCTCAGCCGCGCGTGATCGCGTATACGGCGTCGACGGCGCGCCTTCAGTGCCCCTGATCTTGCGGCCCTTCCTTGTATAGGTGCGGCCCCACATGACATCTCTCCCTCCCTCGACGAGCAGCTCGTCCTCGAGCTAGAATGCTGGATAGCGATCCATGAAGGTATCCACATCTTCCCATGTTGCCGATGTTGCCGGTTCTCCCTTCCACTCGATGAGGACTTGTCGCACTCCTCGAGCAAGCCGCATGCGGGTAGCACGTTCAGGTTCTGGGATGGCAGCACCGTTGTGGATGGCCAGCAGTGGTGGTCGTGCGTCCGGCGGCATTCCCACAAACTTCTTGAGAAGGCTGACGTGGAACACATCGTGAAGACGAGTGCGCGGTGGTAGTGCCAGCCGCACGGCAAGGTTGTTGATGAGCTCATTGACTTGGTAGGGGCCAAAAAATCTTGGCTTTAGCTTGCCTTTTGTGACTTGAGGAAGCGAGGCCGGTTCGCGGTGGCGTAGACGCAGCCATACCCAGTCACTGACCTGGTAGGAGACGTCGCGGTGGTGCCGGTCGTAGAAGGCCTTTTGAACTGCTTGTGCTTGCTCCAGCCGGTAGCGTATGTCAGCTAGGATCTTGTCCCTGTCTTCCATGTTGCGAGCTACTGCCGCCATCCGTGTTTCACCTGGTTCATATGAACGGATGGTTGGTGGGTCGCGGCCGTACACCACGCAAAACGGGGTATCCCGTAGTGACGTTTGGTACGCCGTGTTGTAGGTGTACTCGGCCCATGGCAGCCAGTGGATCCATTGTCGCGGCTGGTCGCCGGTGAAGCACCTGAGGTACATGACGATGACTCGGTTGGCCGCCTCTGTCTGGCCGTCGGATTGCGGGTGGAATGCTGTCATCATGTGTAGCTTGGTGCCCATGAGTCGCATCAGTTCTCGCCAGAACAAGGAAGTGAACACTGGGTCACGATCGGAGACCATGGACTGCGGTACGCCATGCAGACGCACAATGTCGGTGAAGAAGGCTTGGGCAACCGACTCAGCAGTGTATGGATGCGCCAGGGGGATGAAGTGGCAGTACTTGCTGAAGCGGTCGACGACCGTGAGGATGACGGATTTCCATCCTACGCGCGGCAGTGCCTCCACAAAATCGAGGCCGATGTTGGCCCAGACAGCCATCGGTACCGGTAGGGGCATGAGCAGTCCAGCCGGGTGAAGATGTTCTGACTTGTACCTCTGGCACGTGGCGCATGCCTTGATGTAGTCCTGTACCATTCGGCGGACGTTGGGGATGTGGAAGTCGCGCCGGATGCGGTGGATGGTGCGCTGCACCCCCTCATGGCCGTCGTCGTGGATGGCAGTCAGCAACTCTAGGAGCAGTGGGGAGGACGGTGGTATGTATAGACGTGCGTCGAACGCCACCATGCCGTCTATCAGTGACCAAGGCGCCGCGCGTGTGCCGGCTTGGATCTCATCCCCCAAGGCCCTGATGGCAGGATCGGTATCCTGTGCTTGCCAGAGTCGCTCGACATAGTCGAACCGTGGCGCAGAGATGGCGAGGATCATGCCGTCGTCGGTGTCGCGACGTGAGAGGGCATCGGCCACCGTGTTCA